ATGGCAAACACAAATGGAATAATGTCTCACTTTGCACGAGAAGAAGCTGATTTTCAGAGGCAATTAATGCCTCTGCCGAGGTCACACAGCTCGAGAGTGGGGCACTGGTCAGAAGGCAGAGCCAGCGCTCCCCCCAGCATACGGAGATGTCCCTGGACAGAGGAGGCTTGCTCTGCTGCCCTCTCTCAAGCGCTCAGAGGTCTTTCCAGGGACTGACAGACGCAGAGGTGTTTGTGACGTAGTGAGGTCGAGTTTCTTGGAGAAGCTTATTTCAATATATTCTGTGTTAAATGCCTTGAAGCATTTGATAGGGCTTCAGTATTCTTAACCAACTTCAAGGATCCCTTTCTAAATTATTATTTTCAAAAAAGACCGGCCTGAAATGGTAATGGCCCCTTTGGAGGCATCTCAGCGACTGAGGGGAGGTCAGAGAGGGGACGGGAAGCAGAAGAGCCCAATTCCAGGGCCTTGTGTGTCTTTCAAGGCAGGGGCCGTGCCCAGAACCTCTCTGAACTCCAGCGGTCTCCAGCCTGACCAAGACATCCTCCTGTCCTCCAGGGGCCACATCTATCACTTGTCTTCTTTCCTAGGCTAAAGGATTCGGTGCAAAGAACTCTAATAAATTCCTCATTACTGGACATCAGAAGGAAAGCTATTAGTGAAAATAAATCAGATTTCATGTTTTCACAGAACTGGGGTGTTCATTGCTTGCCCTTCTGCAGCAGCTAGATTTCCTTGTGCGTTCGGCTGGAGCTCCAGGAGGAACTAATCTCCTCATTTTATGGCGTTTCAAATGACAGAAAAGAAAATAGTGCTTGCTTTGAACCGAGAGGAGATTGTTAGATGCACAACTTGCCCTTTAAGTAGGCAAAAATAACACCCCTCTCGTGCATGATGAAAATGCTCCTAAAAATCTCAAGTTCAGATTAAGTATCTGGCATTCCCAGAAAAGATGGTTTGGCCCAATAAGTCCTCCTGGAAACGTTTTCCTTTTCTCAGTATTTAACATTTTAAACTGAAGAGCGTCATGGAGAAGGATGAGAGGCCCGGGCAGGAGCGCAGGCCACAAGTGCATGTGACTGTGTGGTCAGGT